ACTTCCTTCCCCTTTATGCCTCTCAGAATGTTTTATATTCCAGCCAGACAATTCATTTACATTAGACAATAGTATTCTCTTTACAAAATGTTTGTCTCCCCCTTGGACGGTATCTCAGGACAAAGCCACATCTTATCCACCTTTTCATTCCCACTGTTAGCACGAGGCTTCGCCAGGCCTGAGCTCAGTGATGCTTATCAGATGAAGACAAGTGAGTTTACATCTGAAACTCACATAACACAGGGTTAGATCAGCAACCCAGACAAGATCTGTCATCCAAAGCTACCATTTAGGCAGTGCAATGCCCAACTACACACTGATGAACAAAGAAAAAGAGAAATAAGTATTTCAAAAGAACTAGATTCTCAACTGCTTTGGTATCTTTTCTTAATGTAGTGACCCTGGAAAACTATCTCTCTGGAGCTCAGTTTTTCTGGTGTGTGAAATAGGGTACTGTTAAGTCCATTCTTCCATCTTTAAAAATGGTTTTTGTCAAAATCAGATGTCAATTAGAGAACTGTCAAAGCAGTACCCAGTGCATAAGATTGTCATCATTATAGCAAATTTACTGATAGACACCACTTGCTATACAACATTAGATTCTAAATTGGTTGCCCAAGCTATGAGGTTTCATAGCCTCTGGAAGGCAGCAAAAATGTACTGGGCAAGAATAATGACTTTAAACCCAAGATCTAGCACTCACTAGTGGTGATCAATGAACAAGGTATATAATAAAATTGAGCCTAATTTTTCTCATCTGTAATAGGGAATCATAGTACATGCTTTGTTGGGTTGTTGCAGGGATTAAATGAGAAATGTCTATAATATGCTTAGCAGAGTGCCTTTTGAGTAATAAAAACCCAATAAATGACAAAAAAAGTGTAACCAGAACAAATTTCTTTTCTCCAATCTGATATGATAGAACAAGCATCTTCAAAGATGCAAATATCTATTGATGTATTTTATTAGCATTATGAACAAAGAGTCATTGAGAGGTATGAGACCTGCATGGTGGCAGAGGGTTATGGGAAAGAGGAGAAGTAGGACTGAGAAAGGCTTCTTGGAGGAAGTGATACACAGTTTTGGACATGAGGTATGTGTTAGAATTCACTGCACTGAGGAGAAGAACATATGAAGCAGAGGGAACTGCAAATAAGCACAAAAGTCTGAAAATAGTATATATAATCTAGGCATGGAGTAATCCAGTGTTGCTAACGTAAAGTATCTGATATAGAACATAAGTTAGCTTGGAAAACATGGACAAGAAGGTTAAAAAATATAAATTCTTCATTATGAAACATAGAGACACTAAGAAGAGATAATAATCATTAAATGCAGACAGCTGATGACAGATAAGCCAAATATATGACCTTAATGATGCTCATAACCTCTAATGACAATTAAACTTCAGGGTTAGTTCAATCATTCAGTTGACAAATGTTATAAAAACATTTTCTTATGCTGAGTCCTTTGCCAGACTCTGATGGAAGATACTGTCCTTGGCCTTGAAATTCCTCCCTCCCTTCATTCATTCATGTATCCATTTAACAATCATTCTATAAGTACCTACTGAGTGCCAAGCAATGGGGCTAGCAGTGAGCAAGATTCATAAGGCATCCCTCTTCATTGAACTTACAATCTAGAAAGGAGTAACTATTAAACAGGAAAACAGCTACATAAACAGAGAATTTCAATATTGCAACTAACATGCACTAAACAAGACAAACACAGATAAATGACATACTGGCATTACTTTGAGCTTTAGTCTATGTGGGATCCTTGGATGCAGGTCCATCTCTGTAGAAAGATGCATCTGGTCCTGTGCACAGCACAGCCTTGTCTAGTTGGGCACACAAAGGTCTTACCCAAGTCTCAGGAGTACCAGTGGACAGTACTGTGTCTTTGATGCCAATGAATCACACACCAAATATGGGTAAAAAAGTGTCTGAGGAGTGAAAAATCACAAGGACACATTGGTGTCTATATAAAATTTTCAGCCACATCATATCAGTATCTACTATATGGCAGGATATGGGCATACATATTGGAGGAAGATAAAGTAGATGTATGGCTGAGACAGCTGTTGGGGAACGGGGAATTGGTCATGAGCTGAGAAAGGAAGCTGTGAACATTTTCACTGGCCTTGGAGTCAAGTAGAGGATGGTCTAATGGTAGCCTCCTCTGAGTTTGTGAGCACGCCTCACCTTCCTCAACTATAAAGACGATGTGCTTGTCTGGGGATGTCAGTGTGTTCATCTCTAAAGAGAAAATGACAATAACACTGCTGTCTTAGAATAGGGAGAAAAGCACATGGGAGAGTGAGATAAAGACAGGGAGCAGCCTCACAGGAAACCCTGGGCTAAGTGCTCATATGCCTCTTCTCTTTGTTGCCTTGTCTTTAAAATGGGATAACACTTACCCTTTCAAAGCTATTATGGAGATTAATATAGGAAACAGAACTAATGTGCACTATTTCTGTTCAAAAAATTATATGCATGATCCTGTCCTCACTCCCTTCAAGAAATTCTTTACTAAAAGATAAGACAGGCTCAAATTCCAAGTCAAAATGCTTGGAAAAGTGAAGAGGGAAATTTTTCACATGGCTACATACTAGAGAAATGAGCTCAGGTTTCCATACACAAACTGAGGCAGGTCTCTGTGGGTCACCTCTCCTGGGTTAGGCCTCCTCATGCCACACCACAGGTAGATTCCTGAGAGAAGTAGTCACACAGGTGACCCCAGTCACTTGACATAAGCCTAAACCATTGTTTACACAAAAAGACATTAAGCATAGAGCTTCAACAGCATACAGCTTTATCAAGTGCACAGCTTTGATATGGAGGAAAAAGGCAGGAAGATTAGGTGGGAATAGCTGAGCTGGAAGATGTTCCTAATAACTGCTGTCAGCCCTGCATTGTAACTCTACTCCTTAACTATCAACTCAGTATGCTTGCTGTCCTATGATGCACCTGTATCTCATTTGGGATGAGGAGGAGATGCCATTATGGTCAGATAGAAGTTATACTCCGCTTGGAACTGCCATGAAATTCTCAGAAAGCCTCACACACACTAAACTCCACCCAGACTCCACCTTGTTTGTATATTCAACTGGGGCAACACCCCGTGGCCTATAAGGAGGACTGTTACACGTGACAGTGCCCTTTTTTGCTTTTTGTCTTCTGGCCTTTGCTTTTGAGTCTTTCTCTGGCCCCTCCCATGTTCTCTTCTCCCAGGCAACTCTCTGGCCCACTCATGACAAGTATCTCTTCATGTGTGATGGCCCACACACATGTGTGAATCTACATTCACTCTGTCACTTTTAAACAAATCCTGCTCTCACTTGTGTGCTGTTCCTCTGATTTTAATTCTTATTTCTATGGGGGTAAGAACTTGGAACAAAAATTAAGATTCTTTCCCACAACAGATTCAATAGTTGCAGTAAAAAACAGAACACTCCTGGGTAACTATCTCTGTAAGCTGGGGGCATTCCTTTCCATTTGAATTTTTTTGGGGGGGGAGGTGGGTTTCAGTGACAAATGAGTCTTATTTAGCCAACCAGGTGCTTTATGCCAATGTCCCTAATGCTCAGATTCTGGTGGCTGACTTTTGTAGCCCTGAAAGCACACTTGGAGAATAGCTCAGTCCCTTTGCTAGCCTCAAGGTGGCAAGGCTGCCATTCAAATCCTGACCACATTTTGCCCCAGTTTTTAAGCAGGTTAAAGTCACAAACCAGGCTCGGTATCATTGCTGGTAGAGATGTCTGAGACCTGCCTGCAACCGGGAATGCCACTTGAGTTCGGGTGTTCTCCACATTTAAAGACATTTACCACCTTGACTGGAAGTTGAGACAGGAGACAGGGTTCATTCGGCAAGGAAGAGACAGGACTTTAAAAACTTAATTGCTTCTTTATTTGAAGAACTACTTGCTAATAAACTGCCTGGTTGAAAATTAGAGCCTGCAAGTGGATAAGATAATGCTCAAACCAAGGGAGGAGAGAGTTAGGTTTAATGTGGGGAAACAGGTTTATACAGAGGTTTCACAGAGGCCTAACAGCAGATGGCCCAAATGAGATCGAGAGACAACTTTCAAGGCAGAAACTGGCTCCACATACCATGTGGTAACTTGTGCACCGCTCTGAGGACCCCTCAGGCAACAACCAGCCCAGTAAAACCACAGCCGGAAGGAAGCCCCGGCTCTCTCACTAGATGGCCAGTGCCTTTTGTCCTCCGGAGAGTTCTCTCACATTGCTTTGCCTTAATAAATTTTGATTGCTTATACTCGCTGTGAGACCCTCTCTCAATTCTTGGCCGGGGCGGGGGTTGTTTGTCCAAGAACTTGACCCATTAAGGTCAACAGAACTTGCTCGACTAACCCTGTGCTGAGGATGAAATGGAAAGGCTGAGGAGCAAAGCGAGAAAGACGGAAGAGCAGTCAGGGGAGAGCGCGGAGCCCGCGAGGGGCGAGAGGGCGGCAGCTCCTGGGAACACCGACCAGGCCAAGGCCCGGACTCAGGCGTGGCGCCCAGGGGCTCGCTGATGGGCGCGCTGGGGGTGCGACTTCCCGCGCAGGGGCGCGCCCTGGGCGCAGCGGCGGCTTTTAGGGGGGCAATGAGTGCACGTGAGAGCGGAGAACCCGGTCGGGGGACGCGCGCAGGCAGACCTCGAGCTCCGGATTGGAAATGGGCCAGGACTGGTGCGTGGCTGCGGCTTCGAAGTCGCGGTGCGCAGCGCCTGGAGGTCCCTGAAGCGCGAGGGTTGCCGTGAAGCCAGGAAAGGAAACGTGGAGAGCGACCAGTGGGCCCAAGACTGCGTGGAGGCCGGCAGGGAGAAGCCGGTGAACGCGGGGAGACAACACGGACCCCGGCGGGGCAGCGCGCGCAGAAAGAGCCTCGTGCACCCCGGAGCGGGCCTCGGGCTACCACACAGCTGGCGGGAGCCGCGACTCGAGTGAGGAGACCCGCGTGGCCGAGTGCGCGTGCGCGCTTCTTCCGAGCCGGAGCGGGGGGGCGGGAGCGAGCGTGCGCGCGGCCAGACTGTCCGGTGGGCTGGTAGTGCCAGTAACCGCTAAGGCTGGGGCGGTTGAGACACCTGCGGCGACCCCCCGGCGGCGCTCAGATGTGGCCTTTGGTGGCGGCGCTGTTGCTGGGCTCGGCGGGCTACGGTGAGTGACTCCTGGCTCCCAGCCCTGGCTTGAGTCTCTGCGACCCCGCAAGTGCTCCAGGAGTGCGGACGCGGGAGCGCCCCCTCCTTCCTCCCCTGCCTCCTTTTCCTGGTCTTCCCCTCCCCGTGGGCGAGAGCGGGGCTCGTCTCCTTCCCCCCGCTCGCCACCTCCGAAAGCACGCACCGAGCTCGACTCCGAACCGCGCACCTCGCCCAGCGCAGCTGTGAAGAAGCGGAGGGCGCCGTCGGAGGCGAGGGGGTGGCCGCTGTCAGGGACCCGCGGCTTCGCACCCGCTCCGGGCTCGGTGCGTGGATGCTCCGGGGATTGAAGGAGGCAGAGTGGGAGGGCCTGGCCTCCGGAGGGGGAAGCGCGCATTCTGGCCAAGTGGCCGGGTCGGGGTTGGTGCTGTTCGTCCTCCCACACGCACGCAGGAGCGAAGGGGACGCAGAGGACGCGCTCAAGTTTTCATTTCCAACGCGGCGTTGAATCAGGAGAATCTTCAAACTGCCTGATTTTTGTTTTTGATCTAAAAAAAGTAAGCTTCCTCGAAACTTTCTTGTGACTCTTTCTCTAGCCCCCGCATGCCCCGTCAGCCACTATTAAAACCAAAAGCACGTTCCAAACTGTACCTTGAAGTTTGCCCTCTTGAGTTGGGGACCTGGTTTAAAATACAGCCAGGTTTCGGGTGACATTTGAGGCCAGTATGCTCACATCGAAACACCTGTGCGGCAGGGTGAGTTTTGATACCCGAAGTTTTGTTTCCTCCTATGGCTTGTCCCCCAAAGATTACTGTGTTGGAAACTTGGTCCTGAATGTGGTGATATGGAGAAGTGTGTGGGACCTTTAGGTTGGTGTGTGCTGCTGAGATATAATTAGACCAAACGGGAGGCCCGGGACTTGGAAGAGATTAAGGTAGCGGCTGTGGAATTTAGTTGTTAGGAGAGCGGTTCCTTACAGAAGAACAAGCCTCACTTGCTGAATCTCTCCCTGCCTCCTCCCTTGCCTTGCCTTTGGATCCATTTTAACTAATTAAGCCAATGCAATGCCATTTGGTTTGTGTAGCTCAATGGGAGCCTGCCCAGTGGGTGGGGCCACGCAGTCTTGGACTTCAGTTAAACCTGTTTTCTTTATAGAGTACCCAGCCCCGAGTATTCTTACAGCAACAACAAAATGGACTAATGTAGTCAAAAATTCTACTCCAACCCACCCCCAACTTTTGGAATCCATTTTGCTTTTTCCTAAATATATGCTTCATCTGTAAAAATTGAGGAAGGAATAGGAAATTTATGGCCCCGTATTACCTATCACGTTTTCAGTCTACCCAAAATAAACATTTTGTGAAATTTTTGGAAGGATCAGCATTGAGTTTGAGTACCAGTAACACCAGTTGTTAAGTTTACTCTAGAATGCAGAATTAATTCACTTTAAACAGATTATGGGCTTCATTGTGCCCGTGAAAATTACTGTGCCTAATGCGGTCATTACTATTATACTCCACCAAAATAGAGTCGAATGGCTGGAGGAAAAGAAAGATTTTGGAAATGGCCTTCTGCACAAACAACTATCTTCTAAGGCCTATCTAACAGAACAGCCTGCAATAACTTAGTGACTGATGAGGGAAAAGCTAACTTGGACTTTAGGATTGGTTGTACTTACCAACTTCAGCTACTCACCAATCAGTGTTCACCTGTACCACAGGTACTCAGGAAGCCTGAGTACCAGTGTTTTCTTGCATAAGGCCTCATGTGATTTTTCTCTTTCTCCCAGTAAAATGCAAATCTTCTGTTCTTCCTCATATGTACCAGAAGCCACCCCAGCCTGTGCATTGGGTTGTAGTAATTTTTATTTCTGAATATTTATAAGACTTTCACCTTTATATGGCATACCACTCAAAATGACCTATTGACTGCATTACTTCCAAGATGCCCTCAAGTCTCTGCTTCCTGCTTTTCTCTTTCCTGGGCTCTCTGACGTGTTAGAGATGGTAATAATCAGATCTCTGCTATCTAAGTGGTTGATGTTAGGCAGTAATTCTTGTCATCATCTTTAGTATTCTTGTTGCTACCATTGTAGCGAAAATAGTATGCAAATTGCTTTCAGATACCCGATGTATAATGAGAAAGCCTTCATATTGAACCAGACAAAGTTGCAGTAAAATATCGCTAATTCAAATGTTGGCATCAAAATTAGTCTTAATAATAAAAAGTGTAAACCATGTGCTATTTTTAAAATGCATCTTATTTTCAAATGGATTAGAAATAGTGGAATGGCAGTTTTTGGCCCAGATATTCTTTCAGGCTTTTCTTTATAATTATGATCACATCTAATTACTGCTCATTTTCACCCAGTATTAGTGTGGTCATACCCCTACACACTCATAGCACTCAGAATTTAGAGTATTTTATCGTACTTAATATTAACCTAAAAAAAACCCACAAAAATCTAAAATACAGTGTTTTTGTATTATGCGTAGTATCAAATATATAACAAAGTAATAGATAAAATAGATTTTTAATGTGTTTAATTTGTAGCTTTAAAAGGCCAAGTATGAGAAAAAAAAAAGCCAAAAGTCTTAAAGGACAAGTAGTTAAAGTCCAAGGAATTTTAGAATGTAGACTCTAGAATAAGAAAGTCACAGATTTGTGTATTGATTTATAGTGAGTGTTAATTTTACTTTCAGGGTTTTTTTTTATATAATGCAGTGATAATTGGGGACCATTTTTTTTAACCACTACAGTTTCAGTGACTTTTGTGGTCAAAGAAGTTATCCCAAATACCTGTTTCATCCACTGTCAAATAATCCACACCCCACTGGAATAGGGTAGAGACACAGAGGGAGCTGTTGTCTTCCTTTCCTCTCCACCATCCCACATCCCTTATGTCCAAATATGTTTGTTTAAAAGTGCTTCAACAGTTTCAGTGATAATCACTTAGGAATATTTTAAAGATATATACTTTTTTGATATATACTTTTTAATGGTGACAGTGAAGTGAACTCTCTTTTTAATGGTTGAATGATTTTTCTTGGTGCAAAGTGAGTTTTTAAAATTATATGCGTGATTAAAGTTTTTCTAAAAATTGTCTAAATCTAGTAGTAATTTGGCTTCATTGAAAATGTTTTATTTTGTCCTAAATAAATATTACTTTCAAACCTATTGCCTTCTTAGTGAAATAAGTGCAGCTGGCAGTATGTTAACCCATTGCACTACAAGTGTGCCATTAGGACACTTGCTCTATGTTTTCACAGATGGCTTCTCTTTGCTACTATGTTTTTAATGGAGATTTGAAAGACCAAATTCTGTAGATGATCCCTGTTTGGTAAACATTGTAAATTCAAAGTAAACATTTGCCTTTCAGGTTTTTGCTTTCATAGCTTTTTATAAAACATAAAAATGTCTGTGTTTTTATAGCTTAATGTCTTAGCCTAGTATGAACTCTTGGGTTATCGTAAAGTTATTTTCACTTTGTGATTTGGTGCAGACATTTCTTCTGTGATAAAAGAACAGGCATGTTAATATAGGATCAATCTGCTACTCTCCTGGTGGTTATAAAGCACAGAGTGCTCAGGGAAGCTGATTATGATGTACTAGACTAAGACAATAGAACCTGGATTCTTCCTCTTAGTGATACATGGAGTTGAAGCAGAAAATAGAAATCCTACCCTCCCCTCGCATCTGTCATTCTGGATCCATGGAGCAGTGGTGTAGGATTCACAATTTGGTCAGCCTCAAAATTTTGTATTGAGATTAGAATTAATGTGCATATTTGAATGTGTATCACATTCAGGTTAAAAGGCAAGGCAAAGGGTTTTGTGAATGCAGGGTCTGTCAGAATTGCCTCTTCCATTTCAAGCAAGTATGAATTCATCCTGTGCTCTAAGACTTTGCAAGGCCCTCTTGGACATATAGACAAAAGACAAATTTTTGATTGCATGCTTTTTTAAAAAAAAAAAAAAAAAGAAAAGATTTATTTATTTATTTGAAAGGCAAAGACACAGAGAGGGAGAGAGTCAGGGTCAGAGAGAGAAAAGTCTTCCATCCTCTGGGTCACTCCCCACATAGCTGCAGTAACTAGTGCTGGGCCAGACAGAAGGTTGGAGCCAGGAGCTTCATCCTGGTCTCCCACGCAGGTGCAAGGACCCAAACACCCGGGCCATCTTCTGCTACTTTCCCAGTGCATTAGCAGGGAGCTGTGTCAAAAGTGGAGCAGCGGGGACATGAACCTGCACCAGTATGGGATGCCAGCACTGCAGGACACAGCTTTACCCACTGTGCCACAGCACCAGCCCTCAGTATGCCTCTTAATCACTTAAAATGTAGTTTCTGAAGAGTAGGGAGTTTATTTTTATCTATCTGTGAGAAAAATATATTTTGAAGTGTTTGATAAGGGTCATAATTTTGAACTTTATTGGTTTAAGCTGCCCTGCCCCTTGTAATTCTGCGTCAACCACTTCCATTCTTATTTATTTATTTAATTATTTTTTGACAGGCAGAGTTAGACAGTGAGAGAGAAAGAGACAGAGAGAAAGGTCGTCTTCCTTTTACGTCGATTCACCCCCCAAATGGCAGCTATGGCCAGTGCACTGTGCCGATCTGAAGCCAGGAGCCAGGTGCTTCCTCCTGGTCTCCCATGCAGGTGCAGGGCCCAGGCACTTGGGCCATCCTCCACTGCACTCCCTGGCCACAGCAGAGAGCTGGACTGGAAGAGGAGCAACCGGGACAGAATCCGGCACCCCAACTGGGACTAGAACCTGGGGTGCTGGTGCCACAGGCGGAGGATTAGCCTAGTGAGCCACGGCGCTGGCCATCCACTTCCATTCTTATAAGGCCTTTTCAAAGTCCAGTTCAAAGATTACTTTGAGTAAGAATTAAATCTCTTGTACACACCACTTTACCCCAGACTTCTATTACAATATCCAGGGAAGAGATATCGGACTACTAGATCCTCCTTTTTGTATTGAATTCAGTTCAGGTTGAGACACCAACTCTTCATGCCAGGGC